CACACTGCAAACAAATCGTATATTAAAAGATGAGAAATGTGTATACACTAAAAAGAATGTGTCACATTTTATAGAGTCAAGTGTACTGTCATTTCTATAATTTTGTCCAGTATGGTATATTCAATTAATGTCTATTAAAAATCTATATGATCTTCAAAATTGAAAGAATAAAAATGATAAATATCTTTTTTCTAGAAGATGAATGAATGACATTGAAAATGACAAAATTACTCTAGAGATTTAGAGGATCACAAATTCTCAGATACTTGGGATCCATTTGAAAACCGATTGTAAAAGAGCCAACATTATTACAATTTTCAATCAATAACAATCCTTCTCTTTTTAACTATTGAATGTATCATGAACGTACACAATGTCACATTTTGTATTCGTCATCAACATAGTCGACTGTCTATATGCATTCCTGTGTTTGTTAGAAATCGGAAAAGAAAAAAAAGTCTAATATTCCAATGAGAATAAGAAAGTTGATAGCATCACTTTGTTTCTCAAAGTGATAAAATATATATTTCAAACGTCAATCTAACATGTTTCTAAACGATAACAGCAAAAAAGAAAAAAAGAAACAAATCTTACCTCAACTATCCTTTCTCTTTCGATTGTTTTAGAGAATGTATATCAGAATCAACTATTAAATCTAAATACAAAGTATAACTTTATTCACTAGTCACTGAATTTTTAGACTGTTTCAATTGACATTTGTTAAACTATCTTTATGTGTTCGAATGGATGCATTTTCTAATTTCATGTGAACAAAGGGCTCATTTTTCTGTTTGAATAATCATTGCTTCAAAAACACAAAAAGAAAATATGACAACGAAGCTTTTTTTTTCTGATCATGTAATAGTAAATTTTTGAGAAGATATTTACTAAAATATATTATTTTAAATTTTTTTTGTTAATGATATTATGATTAAGAGTGATAGTACTTGAACAAAAGAGAAAAAAAAATGGAGTTAATATCTGTGTATGTATGTCTGTAGATTATTTATTCGTTATCCATCTATATAAAACTTATCGATCTGTGATATGTAAACTTCTATTTAATTATATAATGCAATTTCTAAGAAAAAGTCATTAACTTTTACCTTGACATTATTATTGTTCCTTCCGGTTGTGAAAAATAGAAATGTGTTTGATTTAATAATTTCATGATCAATTCTCTCCTCTTTTTTCTTCTTCTCCTTCATGTACATGTACATGTTTAATTGTATAATGTTTGGTGGAAATGACATGCAATTATCTTCTATTATTATTTGTTTGAGAATATAGACACAGTATATTTGTTCAACAGTTCTCTTCCTTATTAACGACAAAAGAAAGAATAAAATATTTTTGTTTTCTTCTTTTCGTATATATCTATACTAATGAACTGAACCAATTCATAAATGTATTGTGTGCAAGACGATGAAGATGGATTATTTAACAACAAATACGTTTTAACATCAGATAAATGTAACGCTCTTTTTTTCCTGTTATTTTACATCATCTGCATTTTTTTTTCTTCTTCTTCTTCTTCTATTGAACGCGTGAATTGAAGATAATTGTCAAAAAAGAGAAAAAAATATGTATATAGTAGAAAATAGAGAAAAAGAGAAGAAATTTTGTTTTGATATTTCTGATAAATTTCAACTACTTTTTATAAGAAAAAAAAAGATATATACGTAGATATATATATTTAGAGAGAGAGAGAGTGGGAGAGAACGATAATGAGACGATATATTAATGAAATATTTCTCTAAGAGCAACAAACGCATTTTATTCTTATAACGTTCAATTTTTCATATTATTTTTAAACTTTTAAATATCATTAAAAAATATGGATAGACGACGTTTATCTGTAAATTTTGTTGGTCGTATAAATAATAATGATTATCCACAATTTACTGGGGTATGTATCAGTGTATCTATCATTCATAATTTTCAATGTTATTATAGAGATAATTTATACAAAAAATAACATTGGTTTTGAGAGTTGCTGAAAAATGCTTTATCCGTATTCAGTATACTCGATAACTTTCGAAGATTTTCTACTAATTAGCGAGGGATACGTCTAAAAGCTCGGGAAAAATTTTCAAATTTATATTATTTTTCTCATAGAAAATTTTTTGGTAAAAATTCCTTTGATAAAAATAGAAAATCTTCGGAGTTATCGAGTATACTGAATACGCTAAAATACTTTTCAACAATTCAAAATCAACTTTATTTTTTTTATCCTTCCGATGATATGTAATAGAACACCATCATATTCTAAAGTAGAATATATGATATATTAGCAAAAAATTACGCAAAACTATTTGATTTTCATGAAAGATGTATACTAATTTTATTAATAAGATCTATCTATTTGTATAACACCTCTCCATTCAATTTTTTCTACTCGTAGGTGTATTTTATAACAGTTAAAAGAAGAAGAGTGAAGATATAGTTTTCATTAGGGCTATTTATGTGTGAATAACCGACAAATAAATAAAAGTCTCGCTATATAAAATAATTTACTGTCTTATCTCTAAAAGAGTAACATTAGAGTGATAATGTAATACTTTAGTATAAAAATACAGGAATTAATATTTTCAATTAAATGTGATAATTATATTTTACTATACTCTATTTTTAACTTAAATTATAGATGTCAATTAAAAGATTATGATAGAGATACTCTTATTCTTCGTATAATTTGTTATGGAGATGAAATTTTTTTTTTTTTATCCTCATATAAATGCAATAGATTAGCAAAAAATTTAGTTTCACTAAAGGATAAAGTAGAGTTGTGTTGTAAATGATGCAATTAGAAGAACAAAAGGTGAGAATATTTTTAATCATTTAGAATGAAAAAATTAACAAATTTGTTGTTGTTGTTGTTTTTTTTTATTCATTGCATGATTTTTTTTTTTTCATAAAATAGTGGGAGGATTAACAGACACACAAATAAGTGAATATTTAATACATAAAAAAAATTCATTAACATTTCGTTCTAGTGAACAATTAATCTTAGAATCTTCTAATTACAAAAAAGAGATACATCTAAAAATAACATGTTTATCGGTTTCTGTTCAAGAGTGGAACGATAAAATAATGAATACTCTTCGAGATATTTCTGTTTTTAAAGTTTTTTAAAAACAAAAAAAATCTTCAATATAACGTTACCTTTAAACATTCATTTGTAGAGAGAAAATAACGAAAAACTATTTGTACAATTTGTTGTTGATTTTCCAAACACTAAATAGTAAACTATTTATTAATACAGATTTGTGTGCGTGTGATAAATGTGAAACAGCGATAAAGTTATATTTTTAGAGAGTACTATTTAGAAATATTTTGTTTTACCAAATTAAATGCCAGACAAAATCCTTCTGAGAAAGATCGTTTGACACCGAGCACTAACCTACGGTGCATAAGTAATGAGACAAATGTCGAGGTGAGCCGTTTTTTTACCACAATGAGTTAGAGACTTCATTTTTTCGTCATTAGAAAGAGTGAAGTCTCAGCTTCAAAATGGAAAAATATTTTAATAAAGTTAAATTAATTAAATTTAAATTTTAAAAGAACCACTCCAAAACGACTTTTTACAAGACAATTTTAAGTGACTTGGACTCGCTGGACCTGCACTAAGTTTTTGGAAGTCGGGATCAGGTGCAAAATACGATCAGTCCGACAGGTCTTATCACTTTACTCTATATTCTCAGAAATTTTCAGCTCTCCATCTCGTTGTATGATGGTAATACGGTAGTTTTAAAGAAGAAAAGCGCGAAAAAAGGTTGAAATGTTACAAGCCGTTTTTGACAGTTCTTTTAAAATTTAAATTTAATTAACTTAACTTTATTAAAATAGTTTTCCAAAATATGCATTTTGAAGCTGATACTTCACTCTTTCTAATGACGAAAGAATGAAGTCTCTAACTCATTCTGGTAAAAAACGGCTCACATCGACATTTGTCTCATTACTTATGCACCGTTAGTCCATCTGATCACTACTTTGCCATTTATTGCCATTAATTTTTCGAGAAAAAGTAAAAGATTTGTATGACTTTTCTGTTGTTTTATTCTTGTTTATTAGCTCTTTGTTTCATTCCCAGTTTGTCTTTCTTCCTCTTTTTTTTTTTACAATGAAGACTATAATGAGAAATCGTTCATTTTCACTTTAAAATAGATAAGATTCCATCAAACATCTTAAGAATTCGTTCATCTTACTTTTCAAGCAAATTGATTTTAAGTTTTTTTAGATTCGAATACAAATAATATCGAACGTTGACTGCAAAGATAACGTTTTAGCATCATTAAAAATATATTCTAAAGTTAATCAAACAGAAAAAAGATGTTGCTACAAGTCTCAATCTTCTCATAGTTTCCATTATCTGTTTTATTATGTGAAAATTCTGTATCACAATCGTTTAAATAACATTATGCAGCTACTTTCGTACACTTTGTCAGATACCTTCTAATATGTTGTGTATAAACATGGATATTTTCTTAGAATCTCATCAACCGGAACCGCATCCACATCCTAACTTTAGTGACCATAATTAGTATGTCAGAGAGATCGCTATTATTTTTTTTTTTCATCAAAGTATATGTTTCTCTAATTGATTGTAACTAGTTCAAATTATGTTGTTTGAATGAAAATAATTTCTTCTTAGAAATATTCTATTCTCCCTTTTTTTCTCAGACAAATGTTTAAGTCTTATATGCTTTGATAGAGCTCATCCTGTCTATGTTATTTATTTTTATTGAAAATATACTTGAAATCAATAAAACAAAAACATGTCAGAGCAGTCTCTTATGGGGCTAAAATGGTGAACCTCCTTCAAAAGTTTAACGAAGTGGTTGACTACTAGTTTTAGACGTTATGACCATCAGAAGAGAGAGGTTACAAAACTAGCCAAAGTCAAGAATTTTCGACTATAAACTTCAACTCCTCTTTCTTTCGGAGATATAGAAGAAGTTTCACAAAAGATTTTTGTATATTTAAAAATTTATCAACGGATATACATCAATAATAGACTCATTTCACAGATGTCGATTTAAGAGTTCAGAAAAGTCTAGAAATATTTAAGATTTTCTTCATTTATAAAAATTAGTTAATGTGAAAAATAATATTTATTTCTTCAAGATGTTGATGTAGAACTAGATTAGTTTGTCGTTAACAACAGTGTATCGAATACACCAGGATTTATTTTTGGAAAGTTTTCTTTTCTCCATTTGACAAATCGTTTCATTTGCAAAAAATATAAAGAAAACTCCTTTTAATTTGATCATACTTATCGTTTTCAAGTCTATTTTCGAGAGTGAGTTTTTCTCATCATTCCGATACAGATGGAAGAAAAAAAACTTCTATTTATAGAAAAAAAAAGATAGACGACATTTTCAAGTTGACTAATCAATAAAAGAATTTAAATAAAGGACACTTTCACGTTCTTTTGACTAAAAATGTCCAAATAAATGTTCGCCCACATTCTGAAAGATTTAACTAAGAAAAATAGTATTTCAATTTTAATTTCGTATAGTCAATTTTAAAACTATCATTTGACTCTATTGTTAATCTATTTTATTCAAGATTGATATTAAACTCATCTAGTTCAATAAATCTATCATCTGTTTTTATTTTAATTTACCATCATTGAATACACTAACACTAATAGACCAATGATTGTGTACACGACTTTATTTATATCTCTTTTTTTTAATTCTTTTTCTACTATTTTTAAGATATCTTAATTAGTAAAAGATATTAAATAAAATTCTTTTACAGAGAGAGAGAGAGAGAGAGCGAGAGAAAAAACAATATTTCTTTTTTATATTTCTCATTTCATGCAAAACAACTTTTTTTAAAATTAAGCTGACACGCTAACTAAAAAAAAATCATCAATATATCCTACGCACATACTCAAAATTTATAAGTTTTGATGATGATGATAAACAATTTAAAAAGAAAATTAATCCGTTGACTTAGAGAGTATGTTTGGTATGATATGAAACTAGAAAACACGAGCTAATCCAACATACTTTAACTTATTAAAAAAAGAAAAATATTTGAAGTTTTTTTTTCTCCTCTCCCTATCTTCAACGCAAAGAGCATGCCTTCCGTTTTGTCTAGTATGGCTTACTTTAATCAAAGTAAAATTTTGATCTTATTACTCTACATTGAACCAAAATGTTCAATTATCATAGCACCATTAATGGATTTATGATGGATGTGGCCGCATCTATTGAAAACAGAAAAATTTTTAGCTTTTACCAGCAAATAAAGTTTTCAACGTTCTGCACTCATCGGAAAAATTTAAATAAAACAGTCGGAAAATGACTTTTTAGATTGTCCTTACAAGCAAAATTAAGACATTAAACTATCGGAAAAACTCTCTTTATTTCTCTAATTTCGATTTCAGCTCGTTTGTATAAATTGTCCATAGAATATTTCATTCTTATCATTTGTTTATACAATTCACATCATATCTGATTCGAATGTGGTAATCAGTTTGCTCTTGCCAGAGAATTCAGCCTTAAATAGCAACTATCAATGGTATAAATACAAATATTGACTCTTATTGGGAACAAATTATCTTTGCCATGTTAGATTGTGTTCATAAATATTTATAACTTGAACTAGAAATATCATTTTGACATAATATTTTCAAGAAATAGTCTCTTATGTTTGAAATCATCCTCACGCAACTTTCAAGATTAAGTTCGTTCACGTATGGGTCGTAATGACACTAAAACACTTGAATCGCAACAAACTGAAGATGCAAATATGTGTGTGTGTGTGTGCATGTCCTACGATGGCATGTATATCAGCTTTGTCCTATACCGGCAGATAAAGTATAATCCTAAACTCTTATATTTATCTAAATCCACTACGAACTTGACATATGGCTCTCAGTGTAGATCCACTATCTGGCTGTACTTTTCAGTAACTAATGTAACCTAATCAATACGAACCGTTTACACTGACGATTTTTAGAATAAATGAAATGTTACTTCAAAAATAGTTAGTCCTTATTGATATAGCTATAGTAAAAACAAAACTTGACGGACATCTCACTTTATATTAATTGCCATAATGATTTACAGTACAAAAGTGTGATATCCAGTGATGGAAGTTCTACCAGTCAATTTATTACCTATCTTAGAACGTTCAAGTATAAATATTTTGTACTGATCGATTTATACCAGCTTTATTAACATGGGAGTCCAGAAAGTCTATGTAATGAACGCAATTTTTGTATTATATTTAAATGAATAATTAACTATTTTAAAATAATTCAGTCAAAATATTGAATTATAACAGCTGATGTTAATAGCTTGTGCTCTATATGCTAGTCAGTGATATCATAAACTAGTTAATAAATATCTGTTTTTCTTATTTAGAATGAACAGTTCTTACGTCGATTATCTGATGGTCCGTATCCTACATCACCCAGAAATCACTATCATCCATTTCATCATCCACAATATTCTGATTTTATGGATCCTACTAATCCTCGTATGATGAGGAAAAATTCATCAATTAATGTACTACTAGATTCAACATCATCTGTTGTACGTAATGCTACTGCTAATTTTTCTTATTTAATTGGATCAGCTCGTCGAGCATCGTGTGCCGGTGATCTGGATCCATCAGTACAAATGAGTGGCAATCGTGGTTCACTCTATCTTCAATCGCTACAACCTCCATCTAATCATTCTCCACGACTTCATCATTGTCTTCCTCATGAACAAACTATTCCAAACGAAGATCAAAAACGTCGTCGTTCAGTAACAATTTATGACGGAAAAATACCTTCACCTCGTTCTGCTTCACCATCGATAATACCATTTGATCTAATAACACCAATGGAAGCAATCGAAAACACAAATGATCCTGCTGAATCTTATGTTCAAATTGTTCTTGAAACACCTGAACAACCAAATAAAAAATTTTTCTATAATTCTGCATCATCAAGTAAATATTCATCAACTGAAAATATTTATCGGTATAATAATTTGAGTGAACAATTTGATAAACCGAAACGCCGTTCATCATTCGCTAAACAGTCACTTTCTCCTGTTCCAATAAGTACGCAAGAGAAAGATAATTCAAAAACGATCGATGATGAACAACCGTTTGATCCAACCGACACTTACTGTGTACCACCACTGATCGTTGAACCAATGGATTTTTCATTTCTTGAACCAATTCTAAAAGGTAAAAGTGCAGAACCACCGCCCTCACCTTCTCGAACACAAAGTCAGTCGCGTTCCATCTCGATTGCAACGACAGATGATATCATCGAGACGCATGATATAAAAAAAAGTTGTTTAAACTCAATATTGAGTTCAATGTCGATCGGTTCGAACACATCTACCGACTCTTCGAGCTGTTTATCGTTATCTGTCGAAAAAGATCTACCTGGGCATACGTCATTTGAGACAAATTCAACGGTGATGCGTCGAAAGAAAAATGGTGATACGATACTCATATCAAATATGAAACACGTAAATAATCCTTCTGCCACATTACAGGTGCCCTTGTAGAAATCTGTTGTTTTTCTTTCTTTTATGCTGTTACTCTTTTGATAAAAAAATATAAATAAAATTGTATATGATGAGCAATAAATAGAGGCGAAAGCCAATATTTTTCATCCCATATCTGAGAAATCAAAAGATTTAGCAGTTTCGTACCCAATAATCGCGATTGGTGTAAAAAGAAAGATGACATATTGTATCTGGTTACCTTATTAACCAGTGTAGAACAATTTTACAAGAATTTACTGTTTACGATAACAGGAAGGATTGACATCGTAATTGACTTCTTCACTTCTGAAAAGAAATAGGGTACGTGAGAGAGTCAAGTTCACTGAATAGAGATGATTTTTTCTCTCTCAAAAACATTTCAGAGTGATGCCTAGAATAGTTTCCCTAATTTAGATTTTTAATACACTGTCAAAAAAAAAGTGTCTCGATAAACCACTCGGACAGTTTCAAAATGCGTCCACAGCGCGTAATGAAGGCGCATCAGGTACATTTTCTCATCTTTTAAAGAACTTTAAAGAAACTTTGTCGATTTTAGGTAACAAAATGCTGTGGAGTGGGATATTGTGGAAACCGTAGTACTAGAGGTGTGGTTGAAACATCTTTGCAATACATAATAATAGCTTAAACTGTAATTTTAAATAATGAGACAAAGTTAACTTCTGTGCGTCTTATTTTACGTTGTTTTCCCATCTGATCCTGTTTTTATACTCTCAGAAATGATTCTATCCGCGTGGATCCACACGGATCCCGAATCCACATTTCCCCCCTGGTAATGACATTAAGGGAGGTGGATTCCTCCTGGCTTTTTACATCACTTTGTTGTCCATGTCCACTTATATATATAGTGACACGTCTGAACCTCTCAGACACGTTCTTCCCATTCTTTTTTAACTTTTCGAAGTTTATAGAAATTTCAGCGGTTTTACTAGAACGTTCACTGTTTATTAAAGAAGCGTGTTCTAATGATAAAACTGACTCCGATCGATCAACGAGATCGAAGCGCCTATATGCTGAAATTATTGGCAACTTTAAATGAAGTTTGGTTAACAAAACTTTTATTTTTTCTTGAAATGTCGTTTTTACAGAAAATAAGTATTTTGTAAGAGTCTTGGCACAGATTGTGGCTCAGCGAAGCACGACGGAGAAAACTTTTTCGTGTTTTCTCAATCCTATTAATAACTAATCAATGGTACTAACCGTTAATTAACATCATTCTAGTCTTAGATACTCGCAATTCTGAAATAAAGGCTTAACAAAGAAATTCAAAATACACTTCATTTAATACAAATTTTCACCGGCTAAAACGAGAAACTACCTTAAATTCAGTTTCAACTGTTCAGTATTTCTAGTGAGTCAAGAATTTATACAACATTCATTTAAGTAAAGAATTTTTCGAAACGTTTTCCTTTAGGAAACAAATGTTTAAAAAAGTGCACGGGAAAGTTCACTTTTTCCATTTTTCTTCTTTTTCTATTATCAAAAAGTGGAATAAAAAGAAAAACGAAAGCTCTCGAACATAGACTGAAATGTTATCACCCGTATTTATTTGTTGAAATCATTAGCTAAAGCCTGTTACTTCGTACACACCATCATACAATACATTCGGATTCATCTTAATTGTAAGTTGACTCAATAGCTGAATGTACCAATTGACATTTTTAGAATAGCCAACTTTTAATTGTGTTCCAACATATTTTAACCACCATGAATAGGGTTTCATCATGATGTGTGCTAATTGATGATTAGATACTGATGCATAATTGGATGCAACGATATTATTCACGTAAGACATTCATTTATTATGTGATAAATCTATCAGACCGATAATGGCTCACATGTCATAACTAACAATATTCTTCATTCCTCTTTTACGTTTATCACCAATCGCAATAGGTCGTCACATTTTTGACTGTTTCAGAACAATTGTACCAGAACTGGTTAATGGCGCAAAATAACCTTGATCTCTTGTNTGTCAGCGTAATTTTAGTAATTATACCGGGGCCAATATGTCCATCATAGACGGTTTTTAATTGTTGACCAATTTTCAGTTTGCCAGCGAACACGGGATCTGGTGTATTGTACAAAAATACCAAATGATTGGATGATATTTCTAGAACTGTCGTTTCATTATTCAACATTTCGACATCGATCGACAAATAATCATACAAATCATTTGGTTCAGAATGAATAAAACCGAGCATGTGCTCGTACTTTAATTGACCATGATCAACCACCTGAACATAATCACCCACAGATACTTCTTTGAGTTGTTTCACTATACTACCTAAACTGATAACACTACTCGTGCCTGAAAAGCAGGTCGCCGTTCGTTGAGTACTGGTGCAGCTCCACGCCATGCAAACTCCACTTGATACAGTACTGCATGTACACGTTGAGTCATAGATATATGAATTAGAAGAGCCTCCACGAACCGTATTCAGATACGAAAATAATAAGATCAACAATAATGAAAGCATGTTGAATGAGGACGCAATATTGTTGAGTGAAAGTCTAAAGCGCTTTTCTTTCGTTGTTGAAGCTACTACTT